CTTTACCAACAAACGCAGCCGCAGAGAGGAATTGAACGGTGGGGGGCACTTGTGTTTTGAGAGGAGTATACGATGAGCAGGGCAGGCACTGACCTCACACTGTCTGGTAGCCTCTCTCTTCTACTCTCCCAAAAATCTAGCGGACCCCCGCCCATCAAAACTGACTGCGTGATGCGCACCCTCTTGTTCCCCCATATCCGCTCAATATAGAAACGGCTGGCGCCGATCGATTCCGCTCTGCGGCTGCGTTCGCTTCTATAGCATTGGAGCGCTATTGCAGTTGTAGCGCGACGGCGTGCGGCATCGCGAAGTGTGAACACTGCTTTAAAATCCGGTTATTGCCCTTGTTATTGTTGTTGTTGAGTTTGTTATTGTACAGATAAAATGACTGTGAACATTTCTCACATAACAGAACATCCTTTATGACAAACATTGAATAAATATGCGTTACAATTCAATATTGGACGTATGAAACTTAGTAGTAACAGTAGTAACACCACATACCGGGTGATTCTAACAATGTCAGCAAATAAAACCTAATAAAACTACACAGCTACAAAGAACTATTAATGTGTGAGAACATGCTAAACCCGCGAATTTATCTATTCTGGTATTGTCTGGATTTTATGTGATCGACCTCGGCGACCGGGTGATTTTGGAGTTTCTGGGGCAACAGGATGAATCGAATCTGAAAGCTGAACCTATTGAAAGGGTTGCATATGTAGATGCTCTAAATTTCAAAGCAGTAGTAATGGTGGCACGTCATAAAAAGTGTTCAAATGGGGGAGAGGAGGGGGGGGGGTGGTAAAATATTGAAATTTGGACTGAAAGATCTTGAAATCTGCTTATGTGCGACGGCTGAAGGATGAAATAGGGGTGCAAAGTGGGAGCAAAGAACATGTTAATGTCCCAGTCGGCAAGCATCTGAGGTTATTAGGCAGCGCTTAGCGCTATTTTGTGAAGGCCGCCCGGCCCCGAACCCTTATCTCGCTAAGCAAACACCTTATAGGATAACGTTTGCTCTCTTCGTGGCAAGAGAATGATTTAGCCTCATACGAAACATGCAAATCGACAACCCCACAGAGATGCCAGGCTTGCCTTCTATGGCGTTTTCCCAGGACTTCTGTCCGAGTTTCTGCGCTTTTTAATGAAGACACAATGAGATACCGCTGCCTTTCCTAGTCCTCGTCCTTGAAGGAGATGGTTCAGCCGGAGTTGCACTAGCTGGGCGTCGTTGACGACTGGACGACCGTCGTCCCTCGGTAGCAAAGACCTTAAACAAACAATTATACGAAAAGGTTAAAAGAATGATGTAGCTTAGAATACAGGCAAATGTTCTTTTCAGAACACAGGGTGCTGTGCGGTTTGGAGGGGGCATCTCACACTTTTGCTTGCTCCTTTTTTAGTATCACATTAAAAACTACGAATTATAACGTTCGCTTTGGATCCATAAATCGTCTCACTTTTCTCAGGCGCAAACACTAGTTACAGGAGGCCGGCTCATGCTGTTAGACCCCTGTGAACTGGGGCATGTTTGGGGTGAGCCTGATTGTTGCAGGATTAAAACAGGGTCTGTCAGTTACAGTGGTTTGCTGGTGTATGGTGCTGTATGTGTGCACGTTAGTTTATCTGGTCTCATTACAATTAATCAGTATTAGAGTTTATTTTGTTGATTACTCCTTTGCATACGTTTCGTAGTCAGATGATGTGTATCGAACCTTCTCCGTATTTGCCCCTGACCAAGCTTCAGAAGTTTAGCGGGATTAAATCAATTAGCTTTGGATAGTTTCGTATCCCCACCGAGGCCAGGAGCAAAGCTGTTTGCGTGGCGGAGTTTTAGGCGCTTTTTCCCCCCATACGTCATACGCCGTTTCGAGCGAGGCGATTGACCGTGTTTTCAGGGGGTCTATGCTTCGAGGATAATTTTTAGCCAAGGAAATAAAGTTCGACATATTTGCAAAAATTCTGAGAGTGGGTCATACGTGCGTAAGAGCGCTTGTGATAGTGAAGTCTAGTCACATCCTCTCCATTGTGATACTTCTTGTCTTCGTTTGTATCGAGATGCTACGGTATCTTTAAAGATTTTATTACTGGGTAAGAAAAATTGTCAACATTTCTTTCACATCACATGCCTGTTTCATCGTCAACTTCCACAACAGTGCCCACTATCTTATGTGTTCTTCGACGCTTTTCTTCCACTTTAGGGACCTCAGAATCTGAAAACAATGTTGTTTAGAGCTATAAGTATCAGGGTGGAAATGAAGCCCTGATTCTGAAATCTGGACCACTAAATTCTGACTGTTCTCCTTGCGCGTACCTGATAGAGTTCTGTTTCGAGTGCTTGTCTCAGCCACTGACATCTAAACGAGAGAAATACATAGTCTTGTTCGCTGCGAATAACGGTGCGTGTCAGCTAGGATGGATATGGCGCGGCGCCAGCCAGTTGGAAGGTGACCACAATTGGTGGCGAACGTGCCGGCAGCGCGCCAAACCCATTCGACCTGACACGCCCCTTCATCCGTAGTGAACAAGGCTGTAACAAGACCGAAATGATCTTTAAAAGACTCACATCAAATAAAGTTGCAGCATCGATCCCTCCCAGTGGCTTTGGAAGCGTGAACTTCTCTAGAACATAAATATGTAAAAATTCAGGAATTTGAAGTAAAAAGTTCTCTCACCGCCAAGTAGTTTTGCAGCTTTAGGAAGAAGGGTCTTACGTTTCGAGCCTTCTTGTTCTACTTCCAAAGTCTTGGATTTTGTCGTAGAGCGTGTCGGCGTACGTCTAAAGATAACCAAACGCTACAACATCTACTGAGGTTGAGGTGAGGTAAGGTAACTAACCGAGTCGGTGACTTAGCTACGCTGGAAGAAGCTCGATCTGAATCAGTCGTAGCCTGTTTGCGGGAAGGAGACTTGCGTTCTCAAAAAAGATAAGTTTAAGGCAGTAGGCACGATTTCTGCGGGCAGGCGGTTGTTCCAGAGCCCACTGGCAGAAGGTTTAGTGGTGGGGGCCAAAACTCGCAGCCGTTTCCACCACTGAAGTTCGCAGCAACCGCCCGCACCCAACCATCGTGCTCACTGCCTTTAAGGAGAGAGCGCATTTTCAAGCACAACAGCAGATGTAGTTATGACGTCACAATCAAGTGGGCGGAGTCAGGAGGAGCGGAATTCGCCTCCGACTGCCTTCCTCTCCCAATAGCAATCCGTTACCGATTAATTTAGGAAAAAAAACCAGTGAAAACAGCGCACGTGGACTCATTTCAACACTCTAGAAACCGCGACGACTGATTGCGACGTCATTTGTACGTGGCTAATCAAATGGTGACATACAGTTACCTTTGGGAGCGCTCATTCTTGGAGCAGTTGACTCAACGGGTGTAGCGCTGGCGGCACGTCGTTGGCGGGTGGACGTCTGTTCCCTTCGGAGAGCAGAAACCTAAGAGGCTATTCAATCGAGGAAATCTGATAAAAGCAAAACGTTAAACTGAATGAAAGGTTACTGGACCAAGGTTAGAGCGCGGGGCTACGCGGGCGGCAATACAGGGCCATTCCGATCGCCTTTGCTCTGCTAAGGCATTCGTGATCCTCTCCTAGGGGAAGGGAAGCGACACTGTCTTGCTGGGAAAGCGCAGGTGAGCAGACTCAGTCGTCTCCCTAATTCCAGTAGGACTTCGATA